TAAATATAAAAGCGTGAAAAGCTCTAGCGTCACGACGAGGTATCACTAATCTAGTTATCTCTGATTACTAAAATTCGACCTTTTTCAATGCCAATGCTAATGAAGGTGCAGAAATATTGCTGTTTACAGTCCCAAAGAGAAATGTACTATAAATATGAAAGCTTGAAAAGCTCTAGCGTCACGACGAGGTATCACTAATATAGTTATCTCTGATTACTTAGAATTCGACCTTTTTCATTGCCAATGATAATGAAGGTGCAGAAATATTGCTGTTTACAGTCCCAAAGAGAAATGTACTATAAATATAAAAGCTTGAAAAGCTCTAGCGTCACGACGAGGTATCACTAATCTAGTTATCTCTGATTACTTAGAATTCGACCTTTTTCATTGCCAATCATAATGAAGGTGCAGAAATATTGCTGTTTACAGTCCCAAAGAGAAATGTAATATAAATATAAAAGCTTGAAAAGCTCTAGCGTCACGACGAGGTATCACTAATCTAGTTATCTCGGATTACTTAGAATTCGACCTTTTTCATTGCCAATGATAATGAAGGTGCGGAAATATTGCTGTTTACAGTCCCAAAGAGAAATGTACTATAAATATAAAAGCTTGAAAAGCTCTAGCGTCACGACGAGGTATCACTAATCTAGTTATCTCCGATTGCTTAGAATTCGACCTTTTTCATTGCCAATGATAATGAAGGTGCAGAAATATTGCTGTTTACTGTCCCAAAGAGAAATGTACTATAAATATAAAAGCTTGAAAAGCTCTAGCGTCACGACGAGGTATCACTAATCTAGTTATATCTGATTACTTAGAATTCGACCTTTTTCATTGCCAATGATAATGAAGGTGCAGAAATATTGCTGTTTACAGTCCCAAAAGAGAAATGTACTATAAATATAAAAGCTTGAAAAGCTCTAGCGTCACGACGAGGTATCACTAATCTAGTTATCTCTGATTACTTAGAATTCGACCTTTTTCATTGCCAATGATAATGAATGTGCAGAAATATTGCTGTTTACTGTCCCAAAGAGAAATGTACTATAAAGATAAAAGCTTAAAAAGCTCTAGCGTTACGACGAGGTATCACTAACCTAGTTATCTCTGATTACTTAGAATTCGACCTTTTTTATTGCCAATGATAATGAAGGTGCAGAAATATTGCTGTTTGCTCTTCCAAAGAGAAATGTACTATAAATATAAAAGCTTAAAAAGCTCTAGCGTCACGACGAGGTATCACTAGTCTAGTTATCTCTGATTACTAAAATTCGACCTTTTTCATTGCCAATGCTAATGAAGGTGCAGAAATATTGCTCTTTACAGTCCCAAAGAGAAATGTACTATAAATATAAAAGCTTGAAAAGCTCTAGTGTCACGACGAGGTATCACTAATCTAGTTATCTCTGATTACTAAAATTCGACCTTTTTCAAAGCCAATGCTAATGAAGGTGCAGAAATATTGCTGTTTACAGTCCCAAAGAGAAATGTACTATAAATATAAAAGCTTGAAAAGCTCTAGCGTCACGACGAGGTATCACTAATCTAGTTATCTCTGATTACTTACAATTGGACCTCTTTCATTGCCAATGATAATGAAGGTGCAGAAATATTGCTGTTTACTGTCCCAAAGAGAAATGTACTATAAATATAAAAGCTTGAAAAGCTCTAGCGTCACGACGAGGTATCACTAATCTAGTTATCTCTGATTACTAAAATTCGACCTTTTTCATTGCCAATGCTAATGAAGGTGCAGAAATATTGCTGTTTACAGTCCCAAAGAGAAATGTACTATAAATATAAAAGCTTGAAAAGCTCTAGCGTCACGACGAGGTATCCCTAATCTAGTTATCTCTGATTACTAAAATTCGACCTTTTTCATTGCCAATGCTAATGAAGGTGCAGAAATATTGCTGTTTACAGTCCCAAAGAGAGATGTACTATAAATAAAAAAGCTTGAAAAGCTCTAGCGTCACGACGAGGTATCACTAATCTAGTTATCTCTGATTACTTAGAATTCGACCTTTTTTATTGCCAATGATAATGAAGGTGCAGAAATATTGCTGTTTACAGTCCCAAAGAGAAATGTACTATAAATATAAAAGCTTGAAAAGCTCTAGCGTCACGACGAGGTATCACTAATCTAGTTATCTCTGATTACTTAGAATTCAACCTTTTTCATTGCCAATGATAATGAAGGTGCAGAAATATTGCTGTTTACAGTCCCAAAGAGAAATGTACTATAAATATAAAAGCTTGAAAAGCTCTAGCGTCACGACGAGGTATCACTAATCTAGTTATCTCTGATTACTTAGAATTCCACCTTTTTCATTGCCAATGATAATGAAGGTGCAGAAATATTGCTGTTTACTGTCCCAAGGAGAAATGTACTATAAATATAAAAGTTCAAACAGCTCTAGCGTCCCGACGAGGTGTCAGTGTATAGTCATCTCTGATGTTAGGAATTCGACATCTGTCGTTTTCAGTGATAATAAAGGTGCAGAAATATTGTTGTTTACTGTCCCCATGGCAAATGATTCAATGATTTCTCTCCCAAATCTGTTGTTTTGGCCTCCCAGTATTCCAGCATTAAAGAGATAAGGAGTACAATCTTCGCACGATCGGCTGTGAACGACAATTGTGTGATACCACTTATTTGAAGACTTTAATGCCTCCAAGTTGTGTTCTCTGAGTCGATGGTTGAGGCATCTCCCAGTGTGTCCAATGTATTAACTGCCACAGCTTATTGGAATGGGATAGACCTTTCTTTTTTTCGTATTCTATAAACTTTTTGGCGTGCTTTACGTTGCACCCTCTGGGACTGTCGCTCACATCAACCTTTTTACACATCTGTTTAAGGCGCATACGACAGGAAAAAACTACACTCGTGTCGAACTTGGAGACGATAGATCTTAAACGGTGAGCGGAATTGTGCATATAGATAATCACAGCGAAACGGCCTTTCTATTTGGCAACAGCTTGCGGAAGTTCTGGTTTGAGAATGAATTTCTCAAGGGTGGAACGAGGTAGGTCAGCAGGAAAGCCTGATTTTTCTAACCTTTGGGGCTGCAACTTGAGGCTACTTTCGGAGAAATGCGCGCACGACTTGGAGAAAGAGGACTTGAAAAGTGACCTTACTATGGCATGCTTAGCTGGCTTGGAGCGGGCACTGGTGAAATGGAGAACTGGCTTCTCCGATATCTGCTAGAAGGCCCAACAAAGACCCGAGGAATGAGGATGTAACCGTAAATCCAGGAATTGTAATTCTTCCTTTCGTTGAAAAAAAAAAAGAGGCTTTCTTGTTGACGTACTTCGTTCCACCCTTGAGAGATTCATTCCCAAACCAGAACTTCCGCAAGTTGTTGCCAAAGAAAAAGAATATAAAAGGTCGTTTCGCTGTGATTCTCTACATGCACAATTCTGCGCACCGTTTAAGATCTATCGCGTCGAAGTTCCACATGAGGGTTGTTTTTTCTCTCGTATGCACCTTAAACAGATGTGTAAAAAGGTTAATGTGAGCGACAGTCGCAGAGAGTGCAATGTAAAGCATGCTAAAAGTTCGTAGAATGCGAAGAAAGAAAGGTTCATTAAGTTCCACTAAGCTGTGGCAGTCAGTACATTTGACAGACCGGGAGATGCGTCATCCATCCACTCAGAGAACACAACTTGGAAGCATCAAAGGTTTGAAATGAATCGTATCGCCCAATTGTTTTTCACAGCAGCACGTGTGATGACTGTACTCCTTATTTCTCTGATACTAGTATACTGGGCGGGCACAACAGCAAATTTGGGAGATAAATCATTGACTCATTCGCCATGGGGACTGTAAACAACAACATTTCTGCACCTTCATTATCATTGACAAAGACAAAGGTCAAATTCCTAACACCAGAGATGACTAGATTACTGACAACTCGTCGTGGCGCCAGAGCTTTTTAAACTTTTATATTTATAGCACATTTCCCTTTGGGGTTGTAAACAACAATATATCTGCACCTTCATTATCCCTGACAATGACAAAGGTCGAATTCTAAGTAATCAGAGTTAACTACTGGGTGATAGCAAGGAGCGGCCAGGCTCTTTAAATCGACCGCAAAATTCGGTTTCTTAACCTATCGCGTTCCGATTTCGTACAGCGTTGGTCACAGGGATGCATTTTTTCTATAAAATTTGCAAAGAGCGAGCTTACCTGAGGAAAAAGTGAAAAAAGGAAAAGGCTCTACTCCTATGGAAACGCAGCGAAGCCACCGGTTTTCAAACCATAGGGCGCCTTATGGTTTGACCAGTGGTGAAAACGCTAGTTTTCAATTGTCCTATTCAGTCCTTAATTTTTGTTTTTTAATTCTCGCTTGTCATTCACTGCAACATCAAACTAGAGGAACCTAAGTTTCTCGCGGCATTAGCTACAAGGTTCTTGCTGGACCCATCTTCGAACTCTATGGTCCTTAACCGTCTAAGCCCAGAAAGCAACAGGTCCTATAAATCCACGATACTGTTGCCCATATGCTTCAGTTATACTGAGCCTCAAACAAGATGATTAAAAATATGCGCGCTAGAAACAAACGGAAACTGTGAATGAGGTCAACAATCATACATTAAATATGTCGAAATACGAGAGAGTTAATTATGCACGATATATACGCGAGCTCATATATTTTTAATGCCTCCATGGGCATTCGTGCGATAGATAAAATAATTTTAAGCAATTGGAAGACAAAGTTAATCTATACTCGTTTCATACTTAGCATATAGAGCTGCTGGCGCGAGCCTGTGTCTTCATTGAGCGCTTGACTTGCAAGCGCTCTTGTGAAAATCGGAGGTTGGATGAAGGCACGCGCCCGCGCAGTGTACAATAAGTACAAAACAAAAACAAAATAGTGGTAAAATACTTCTTGATAATAGCCATTAACTCTGCTGTGGTTGTGAGTTCGCTGCTGTGCTGGGCGCAGAATCAATTAATACTGAGTTTGTCTAACGGCGTCCTCTGGCAAGTGCAGCGAGATCACGTGTTGGAGGAAGAAGGAGCCATCGTGATGCACGTGAACGAAGGGGACGCCGCTCACTCTTCAAGCTCCAGCTCGGAAGCCCACGTGCAGATCGGGTGAGGAACTCCCATCAACACGAGAGAGAAAGAAAGAGGGTGAGGCGGCGTGCGCCATCAAAATGTCTCTAATTTGACGCAGTCTTCCTATGGTAGCTTTAAGACAGGGCAGTCGGGGCACTTAACTTGCCAAAAAGAAAGTGCCCCGTTTTTTTGCGTGTTTGAGCGTTTTTTCTTTCTTAGGTTCACTGCCGGCGTTGTGCCCACGGTCAAGTTTGCAGCGTTCGAACGCATGCTCTGGCGCGTCTGCAAGGGCAACGTGTTCGTCAGAAATTGCCGTTTGGACACGCCCATCGAAGACCCGACCACGGTACGTCCAAAAGAGTCCCGTCCAAGTTATTGGAAAAACAAAGCTTTTTCGAGAATTATTAAAAATATAAAGTTGGTAAAACTTTGAGCTAAGACTTTTTTTTTTTGTCTCTACGTGCGGGAGAAAGTGAAGCTATAGGAGCGCGCACAACGCTTAGAGCGGGCCTATTTTCGACGCGTGCTCGTGACGTGAAAGTGTTGTTCGAGACACCAGCATGTACGTGCATTTAAAGTTCCAATAGCTCGTACTTATGGTGAAATGAAATATAGTTATGCTAACGTGTTCAAAACGCAATGTAATCGTGATCGTAAGATCATTTCGAAAACATGTTTTATGCCTCAGTCGAAGCGGATGTGAACTTCCGCCCACTCTTCCACAAAATAGAAGATTCTCCTAAAAGCCCATGAGCCTGATACAGAGTTCATCATGTTTAAATCTTTAGTTGTGTTATGTGTATATTTACACAGCCGAAGTTAGACCCAATCGGCGTCTTTTGTCCCAGCTGTAGAGGAGAAATTTAGCCAGTGCAGTCGGGGGAGGATTCAAGGGGGGGGGGGGGGGGGGGGGTGATGGAAAAACCGTCCCCTCACAAAAAAAAAAAAATCGACCCCCTCTTTTTTTTTTTTTTTTTTTTTTTTGGAGGGCAATTAGACATGGGTGGTACCCACCCTAAATAAAACCGACTACCGGCCTGCCAGGTGGTAGAAGGATCTGTACTCAAGGACGAGGGTTCAAAATAGGGCAGGTCGCACCCTAGCAGGCACACTTGTATTCTGAGCTTGGAGAATCACTCCGTCGCTTCAACCGAGACTGAAGTCTGCGGCGGCGGTTTCAAAGCACGGCTTGGAGCCAATAGGCGCTCATCTACGGGCCGTCGACGCAGTGTGGTTCTGCGGCGGCTAAAACAAAAGGCGCAACCGGAGTCCTGTTTATGCTACTTTACATTTTCCCGTCCCGCCCTGCCCCCCCCCCCCCCCTTTAAAAAAAAAAAGCCCTTGAGAGCAGTATAACCGCTGGCCTTGAGTTCTTAACGTGCGCCACGTAGTAGTGAAAGACGACCGCACACCCGTACGATGCTCATCCAGATCGAAGCGGTTTGACGCACTAACCCAAATGTGAATCTTTTAATTTGCGCCACTCAAGAAATTGAGGTAAGTTTTAACACATGACAAAGTTTCGACAAGGGACCTGTGTGTACTGTTGCTAATGCAATTAAGATTAAAATTGTACGCCTAATTTATACTGGCGGTATACATTTGGTTTTAAGTATACTTGATGATAAAAACGAGCGGATCAGCTTTGCGGTTCTGATTAGAAGGATAGTGCGAGTGCAACAATGCAGCTGACTTTCTCAAGCGAAATTTAAGACCGCCGCCGTGACGTCAAGAGGCGTATTTACCGCCCGTAAATTGGAGATTAGTGTACGCTGTTGCTCTTTTGAGAATAGAAAAGGCTCCAAAAACGGTGTGCCTAGTTTTATTTTATTTATTCGGACTGCCTTTACACAGGTATAAATGAACTGAGAGAAATCGGTTTAGAGACACTACATATGCGCCGCACCATCTTTTGCGTGACACTTGTTCAGAAAATGTCTACTAGCATATCGCAGTTTTAAAACACATCCCTGCTTATTTCATCTCCATAAGGCGTTCTAAAGTTTTTATTTCACCTTCTGAGAAATAAACGCGTTCACACTTTTCTTCGTAAGCACTGCCTTTATCAATCAATAAATGCGATGCTTTTCCAGAGTATGTGTTTTTGTTAATTGTCAATTACAAATCTCGTGATGCTCAGCTAGGTAATGTCAAACAATCCACCTTTTTTGGAAATCATGGTTCCAGGGGTTCTGGTATAAAAACACCGGTTCGAGTTTCATGAACCCGCAAGCGACCCCGACAGGTTTTAAAGCGAGAATCTCGAGTCATGCCTGCGCACGTGACGTGTACGCGCGTTTTCTGCGCCATCCCCTCAAACAGGCGATTTCAATAAAAATGTCAATCGATTCAGTTGATAAAAATTAAATTTTATATTTCTTATAATCTTTTAGGTCTATATTATTTTTGAAAACCAATTTTTAATGTTGCAAATGGTAGTTTTAATTTTATGAATTACTCTTTTTTGTGTAAGTATAATTTCATGGGCTATGGTGGTCGCCTGATGCTAACTGTGAGCATTCTTTGTGCAGGGTGACCCCGTGCTGAAATCTGCATTTGTGGTGTTCTTTCAAGGAGAAAAGCTGAAGGCTCGTATCAAGAAGATATGCGACGGGTGCGTTGTCGCTCCTTAGAAAAAAAGTTGATGTCACTGAGCTTCGAAAAGTTCATACTAAGCTCTTTTTGTTAATGAGGGATGCATTTGAAAGGAATCGAGCTTAGAATTTGTGGACCCATCGGCGTCGCCATAGCCTTACAGTGCCGACGGAAGCGAAACGGAAATGACCTTATGAGCAAAATTTAACAAGCTAACGTCATGCTAAGTGTAGCTAGGCGCCACGACGGGTCACGTGGTCAAATGATTAGGGCCTCTAGGGGACACATGGTTACGTGGGAGTTGCAACTACGGGTCGCGTGACATCTCGGTGTGAGGTCGTGGCGTAACGCGACGTCAGGGTATCAATAACGTTATTACGAGGGATGTGGCTAGTTTTGTCAAACCTTGGGTTCGACTGGTTTAAAGAACCTTCGGCCTTTTGGCAAAATTCGACGAAATTCGAATTTTTGTACAGTGTTGTCCGACTTAAAGAAGACGAAAAATTGGTGAATATATGTTGGAGCCAGTGTTCACACAAAAATGAAATCAACATTAAATGGTTTCATAATGTAAATAATGTGTAAGAACACTGCGCCCCTCCTCCGCCAAGCGGCGCCAGCTCGTGTTCAATATATGCGCATGTGCGGGATGGGGACTGTCCTCTCAAACGGTTTTCGTCGAGCATCTTGGTGAAAGTAAAGCAGTCGAACCTGGTCGAACTCGCACCTCGGCAGGTTGGCTACATCCCACGTATTCGATCAAAAAAAAAAAAAAGTTGTTAGCAAGAAAAAAAAAAAAAAAGCACTATCGTCTTTCTAACTGACAATTTTTTTTTCACTGACATAAATGCTACACGATCAAACAATATCAAGTTTTGGTATGATAAATATTCAGTTTAGGTAGATATCGGCTCATAAAATATTTTATTTTTTTATTTTTATTTTTGTTTAGCTAACGTCATGCGCTAAAAAAGCTTTCGCATTTTATTACCGTGTCTAGTGTCTCATTCTCACAATGTTCGAGCTTTCTGCGATGCACAGTTTATTTATGCGTGCCGAAAAACCGGATTTTATCTTTTCGCTCCAACACTAGTATTGTTGGGCGTGAAGACGTGGTGCCACGAGACTGGACGTCGCGTGAAACGACGCCTTGGCCAACACCTCTAGATGTCGAGGAGTTGCAAATGCTACGGCGATCCAGTCTTTCTTAGATCTCCCCGTTGGCCGCCTCCATGGACATAGCGCACAAGGTGGGACGGCGTCACGGGTCCTGCACTCTTTCGCGCAGGTTCCACGCCACGAGGTACGCGGTGTCCTCGAAGCCCGCCGAGAGGCGCCAGATGGCCGTCGACGTCCTGACTCGTCTCGAGGACCTCAACATGGTGAGGACAAACGGCTGAGACGCTCGGCTTTTCTAAAGACAACGTGCCCGGCAGGATGTTCACCTGGCAAACACGGGAGTGGGAAAAAACAATTCTTAGCTCACTTTTGATGAAGAATTGTATCTGAAAGATCAGATAATAAAGCGAAGAGTTTAAATAAATATCGTCGCGTTTAATGACCCAACATAAGATGACAAAAAAATGCAGGTTTGAAATAGCGTTTCTTTTAGATTCATGCTTCCCAAATAATCTCTGCTGACGTCAGCACGTGCACAATACGTATCTGAAAACTCACTATGTTCCTAAGTGTTCAAAACCTTTGTCATCTTGCGATTGATACGAGAAAAGGCTGTTGCTACTTGCCGTACGCACTAAGTACACGTTCTAGTTAAGAAGTCTGTTTATTTAAATATTACACTTAATGTTACACGAGGGAGTGAATTTTAATAGGTATGGCAAAGTACAAAGAAGTCGCACACACGTTACATAAGAATCACGAAGGATCGCAGCAAATCACCTTGAGGCACGGCACAAAACTAATGTCATAATGAGGTTTAGAAAGAACGCAACAGCATGCAAAAAACGGCGGCCCAAAACGTACGAGACATTTTCAGCCAATTAAGGTTTGGGGCAGAATATGACAGAAACAATATTTATTCTTCACAGTACTGGATATCTTATATCGGTGATCATGTTCGAGGATTGCACAAAGAATCGCTACGTTATATTAACTAGGCATTCCTATCCTCTTTTTTTGAATTTTGCGCTGAGAATGAAGTCAGAGTTAATAATTTATTAATGATAGTCATAACGTCCTTATCTTTCATCAAAGCTGACGGTGGCGATCAAGAAAACACAAACCGAGGACAGTTAAGACTGCTCACGTGTAGGAATGCGAAGCAATCCTTCACGCGGCGGATTTCTAGAAGTATAGCGCACAACGTCTTCCCTTTGCACCCGGCGCTCCGGAGGTGACATCACGCAGCCCCACTGCGCAGGCGCAACGCCCCAGTTGGCCTCGCGGCTTCCGTGACAAAGCATCTGCGTTGCTGTGCTTTTCTTCGTGTTTTATTTCTGAGGCGCGTCCGCTTTGACCTTGAGTGGCAAGTCCTTGATGACATCATACCTCGGCGAAGTCACTCACGAACTCGCTCACTCACACTTACTCACGCTCACCGCGTCATGGTGAAGGGCTGTGAATGACTTCGTGAATTCGGACCAAGTCGTGATGTGAAGGGGATGTGACTTCGTGAATGCGGAAGGAGTCGTGATGTGAATGGGCGTGACTCCGTGAACGCGAAAGAACCCGTGATGTAAAGGGGATGTGACTTCGTGAACGCGGAAGGAGTCGTGATGTGAACAGGCGTGACTCCGTGAACTCGGAAGAAGCCGTGATGTGAAGTGGATGTGACTTCGTGAACGCGGATCGAGTCGTGATGCGAAGGGGAGTGACTTCATGAACTCGGAAGGAGCCGCGATGTGACGGGGAGTGACCTCATGAACCATGACGCTCCCGTGATGCAGTGGTGAAGGACTTCGTGACTCTGGTGTATACGTGATGTGATGGTGAATGAATTCGTGAACTGAATTTGTGATGTGATGGGGACTGAGTTCGTGAACTAGGAGTCAGGACTCAGGAGATGTTGGTATGGATTTGCTTGCGTGTGCACGTACTCTTGGCGACTGATAGCCGACTAGTGTCTGCATCATGTTGGTGCCCTTACACGCACAAACATGCTGTGGCGGTTAGTATAGAGTGCAGACGGAGCAGAAACTTGGAAGGAACTTCTGTTAGAGCCCAGAACGAGATTCGTAGGGGTGGTCTGGTAACGTTTGGGGGAAGCAACTGCAGGGGCGTTTGCTTTGGAGGACTTTGAGAGAGGATGTGACATTTTGCGTGTGCGACTGTGCGCGGCGCGAAATCGGAAATGGGGAGGGGACTGTGTATTGCAGACGAAGCGGCACCAGCGCTTCCCAGATGGGGATTGGGGGGGAGGGGGGGGGATGTTTGGACCGGCACAGACTCAGCGGCGACTCCAACGAGTTTGGCGGACCTCCGCTCTTCTGCCCCGATACTGCGGGCGTGCGTACCCGCGTCGCGTAGTACACGTGCAGCTTAGCGAACGTTAGGGGGGCTTTGACTGTGCGCGGCAGACGTTTGAGCCTCCTGCATGGCCGTGGGGTTCCGTTTACGCGGCGCGGCTTGGCGGCTCCTCCTTTCGGTGTGTGTGTCTGTGTGTGTCATTGTGTGTGTGTGTGGGGGGGGGGGGGGGGCCGGGGAAGGTGTCGTTTTGCCACTGTGCTATTCTGCCTCGGGAGGGTTTCTCTTCGCGTTGATTGCATCTGCGTGCGTCCGTGCGCCCATGTTTTTGTCGTTTGTAAGCGCGTGCGTGCGCGCACCCCTCAAGGAAACACAAATAAAACCGTCTTCCCGGAGCTTTTACGCGAGTACTGGTGTGACCCTAACCGAGTATACAATGTTTGTTTTCTCGCTCTCGCTTAATAATGCTTACAAATATTCTGATGCTGGTAATATGCCGCATACGCTCGTTTTTATCCGTCCACACGAAAAAGCGTGCGCCGGATTTGATCTGTTTCGGCCGCTTCCGGATTTTTTCAAACGCTATTTAGCATCTAAGATCTCGGGAAGGCTTGACTCTATTCTAGAAAAATCACGGAAGTTTACGGGCTCTATCCATATGCCAGAGAATTATGATAATTTTAAAAATGTGAGAGAGCAGCCGATTGGCATCACGGTTTGTCGCCCACGTTTCCTAACAAGCGCGCGGACGTGTCCGTTGCAATAACAGGCGGAGAGGATTTTACGTGCTCTCAGGCATTTAGGTGGGGGCTTCGCTTGCTGTTGCCGATAATAGTTTTCATCACAGTCGTGCATATGCCTGAGTTCTTGAATTCTAAGAATACGAACAGAGTTCTTCGATCTCCGTTGAACGTGAATATTGACTAAAGAGGTTGTTGTTTCTGTTTATTTGAGCAAAAGTCAGCTACTGGCACGATACTTGTCTGTAAAAGCCGGACCCCATCAGAAAATATGCGACGAACACGTGGCGAAACTCAATTCACTAAGCAGCCTAGCCTTACTCCGTGAACAGCGCTTCGAACGCGAAGGCGGAGTACGAGTGTTCAAAGATTCTTGATAAAATGACATAAATCTTTTGCAAGGGGGGAGACAGATAGTCCGTCCCCATTTCTGAATTTATATCTTTTTTATGCTAGCTAGTTTTGCATACGAACCATATCGGCCACATTTTGCTGGAGTGCTTTTCATTTGAAATCGAGACCACTCTTTTAACATAAGCGCTTAGACATTCGTCTCCTCGTTATTTTCCTGAACAAGTGACTCATTCAAAGGTCTGCTGAGTTTTTTCAACAGCGTCGGAGCGATACGAATGGCTCTCAATTCGATCGGAAGTGAGAGCCCATCACACAGGACCACAAGCAAACCGCGATTGCGTTGTCATCACCGTCATCCTTCTGTTGCAAGCAGGCTACCAATGAAAAACAAGGTGCGCGGTCGAGGTCGAAGTCAAATTCGAAGTAAGTGTTTATATACGACGTGCAAGTAGGGGTACCAACACGTGTCTTCCGCGCTTGCGAACGTTATCGTGACCCATTGAAAAGAAGTAAATACGAAGAATATCACAACAATCAGCGGGAAACATAAAGGGCGCGCACAGAACGCGCGAAGACGAGACAGAAAAGCGCGCGCCGTCATTGGTCAAAACGAGGTGTAAATAGCGGTATGTCAGAGCGTCTGAGGGGTAAACAAACACACGAGGTGCGCAAAGAGCTGAATAAGCCTGTTATTTTTAAAACATGGAAAACTATTAAACCGGGCTTGCCGCGTTCCTTTAAACTTTTTTCATGCACGTCGCTGTGCTGTTCTGGGGCACGTATCGTCTGTTCACTCAAAGAGCTTTTAGTTTCCCACGCTCTTTAGAGCCTGGCATTGCACCTTTTTGTCAGATGAGCCGGCGATGTCCAGTTTTTCTGACAGGCTGTGTTCCGCGTCTAGAAGTGTGGACGAGCTGTTTACCCGTCCTCCCATCTTGCATTTCCCACCAGACCTTGTTTCAAAATGACCCTTCTTTTGTAACAAAAACAAAATTAAGAACCTGCCTCTATTCATCTCAAAGACTATGTTTGATGTTCACTGAAGGCGCACTCACTGGCTCTGTCTGCTTGAAGAAATCACCGGTTATCAAGGGGACCTGAAGGAGCGAAGACGACCTCTGTTTCCCTTCCCTTCGAAATTAGTTAGCTTGCTTCTCCTTGCTAACGTCGTCTTTAATTTCACTAGAAAAACGATAAACGGTAGGGAGTTCTTGTAGACGGTTTTTGTGCTCGGTAACGATACCCAATAACAATACTATGCATGCACAAAGACGACAGAGGAGTATCGGGTATCCTTACAGGAATTATTGGAACAACACACAAAACTCCCTAGTTTCTTAGACGTGTAAAGGAAGTATAAGCACTTACTTAATTCGTTTCCAACACGCTCGTTTGTGATTAGTGCTTCTGTGTTTCAAGCTTGGGGTAAGCTTTTGTGTTTCAAGCTTGAGGCAACCTGTAGGTACAAAGTTTGACCTTGCCAAGTGTAGGGAAAAGTTCGCTCTTCGGGTTTTTCCTTACGTCCTTTGTTGACTCGTTGTGACCTGTTCTTTTTTGTTACGGGTTACGTGTGGAGTCTGTCGGTTTTGGTTTTAAGGAGCCTTTTGGTTTTTGTATTGAGGAGCATCTCTGTTACGCCCGACGCGCCACCACTGCGCCGGGACGTAACAGAGATGAGTTCATGTATAGGCGAATATGTCGCCGAAATTATGTTCTGGCTATACACGAACCAACGAACTCATCTCTGTTACGTCACGGCGCGATGGTCGCGCGTCGGGCGCACTTCCGGTCTGGGGCTGAAGGCGGAAGTCCCTATGTGAGACGTGTATTCTAGGGTTGTATTAAAAAAAAAAAAAACTGACAAA